TTAAAAACAATAATAATAACACAGTCTAAAACATGTAATGAAACGAATTATATGAAAGTTATTAAATTAAACATTTTACAAAAAAAATTATAATTCAGTAATTTTTTTATCAATCTTTTTGAGCTTGGTCTCGTTTGACAGGAAATTTTAAATTCTAAATAAAGGAGTTTGTCTGTTTACTTACGTGACACCCTGTATTATATGCATTATCCGTATTTAGCTATCGAATTAAGATGGATGTGAACAGGATATGAGGAGGAAGATAACTAGAGTACAGTAATCATATTATCGCACAGGTGAGGTGGTAAAGTGTTGGCTTATGAGAAAGCACTAGACCTAGATAGCGAAGTTTAATGTGCAAGATACATATCGTGCACACACTGCTAAGTACATTTAAACTACCCTGGTTAACATGGGTATACCATTTTAATGGTTTTTACCACAGTTTTAAATTTTAATGAAAACCTATAAGCACCCTTATTTTGTTTAAATGAATCATTTGTCGGTATAAAGTGAAATAGATTGTTTTGCTTGATTTTTATTATCAAACTAAGTTAAATGAATTATTGTTATGATGTCTCAATAACAACAATCAAATATTTTATTTTACTATTGGTTATTTAATATCATTGTTACAACACAAAATTGCATTTAAAAACATTATTATATTCAATTTGTGCTCACACAGAGCAATGGACCTGTTATTTGATTATAGATATGTGCATTGTGAAAAACATATGCTTGAGAAAAACAAAACTTCATTAATCTACAGGTATATTTTTACGTGTTGTGGTCATTAAACAAAAAACTTTGAACTATTTCAAAGTCAAGTTTATAATTTGTTTAGGTTTTTTTTTATAATTTTACTTCATTGTCTCTCCTAGCAGTATGACGAAACCATTAAATTTCAATGAGAAATAATAATGGCCATAAATATTACATGTTTTCCTTCAACAAGTACAGATAGAGTTTAATGGTGAAAAACTCGTGATGTTTTAATTGACACATGTAAATTACAATACATTATTCGAAAAACTAATTGAGTGCGAACGTTATAATAGCAACACTAATGAAATTATTTCCCCATTTAAATTTCCTCTGTTTTTAATATTGATTAAAAGCAACTAATTACAAACTTAATTACTAATTAATTTTGCATTTGGCCAACCAAGTGAAATGGAATTGTTAGTCGTAATAATTGGGTTCTGTTTCCATATTAAACTAATTTATTGTTTTCAATTTATACTCTTTACTGGCGTTTAACTTGCCTAAAACTACTATTACAATGCTATTACATAAAAATATTTGCATAGATTCTTGATAATGTTTAAGTACGAGGGTTTTTTGCAGTGTTTACTTTTTACTAACTACTAGCCGCTATACCCGTGCCTTGCAACAGGGTTAAGATGCGGAAGAAACAATTTTGGTTTCTTGAAAATAATGGCAAGCAGCTTGAGAACGCTAAAAAGAACAATTATTATGTTCCCTAGACCTGCTGTATGAGGATAGACTTTTATTAATTTACTATTTGTATTAACTGGCTACATAAACATAACTGTAAAAAATCCATCCATTCCATGTATCACAGCTTTTTGTTTCTGCTTGGTACAAATTAGCTGTTGTCATAAATAAAATAAACGGTATCAGCATTCTGACACATACTTTCTCCCATAAGTTTATCAACAACCTTTTCATATTGTGTAAGCGGTGAGAGTAAATATACGGAATTGGGATTAGTATAATCTTGTTCAGAATTTAAAGGACTACATACAAAATTTTTATCAAAATCGTTCGGGCCATTTTTGAGAAAATTCGATTTTTCCGGTTTTTTATGGGGTTTTATGGGAAAATCCCCATTAAAAATCAAAATTTCAAAAAAATGAAAAAAATCTCTGGAGATACCATGGATTAGAACCTACATACCAAATTTCATCGAAATCGGACCACAGGTGTAGTCCCTAGCTCTGTACACATCCAGACACACAGACACACAGACACACAGACACACACACACACACACACACAGACATCACTTCGAAAACCACTTTTTTGGGTCCAGGGGGACCCAAAACGAATATATCCACTCAAAACTCAAACTCGAAAATTTTGACAAAAACAATACTTTCTCCATATACTATGGTATAGGGGGAGAAAGTAAAAAATAATAGTGCTGCACCCTGTTGGTAAACCTATTAACTTTTTTATACTTTTGAACATCAATCAAATTGTCTAGTTGAAACAGCTGTTAAGATTCTTTAATTCCATTTAAATATAAGTACTTATAAGGTTAACATGCAGAAACTCCAAAGCCACTGGGGCGGAGCCGATTGGATGGACCACGAAATTGATGGTGTATAAACCTATTCCATGAAATTCTACTCGTATGTACCAATTTTCGTGGCAATCGATCCAACGGTGTCCGAGCTCATAATGTTCAAATATATATATATATTATACAAATTTGCTCTTTTATAAATATAGATTATCCTACAAAAAAATATTTTTATGTTGTTACATTTTTAAGTCAAATTATAGTTCTTTGGCGAATTTCCCATATAGGGAATTAGATATTACCGTAGTACTCATGGTAAGACCTGGACCCCGGGACCGATTTACTTTTTCGTTTTAAGGTCCCTCGAGGCCAAAAATACCATCCGTTCAAATTCATATATATATAATTCATATGTAGAGCTCAAAAAACATATAATTTAGTATATTGAAGCGTTTTTATGCGCCTAATAATCGAATACAAGTTAGCAGATAAGTTAACCAAGATTGAACATGAGATAGCATCTCACATTAAAACAGATTGAGGTCAGTAGGCTTATACATCAATCACTTGGTATGTAATTGACACAATTGAGATGTTTTAAACCATAAATAAGATATTACTCAGTTCTTTGAAGGAATCAAATGAATAATTGAAGAATGAAATATAGTTATACAATTGTTCAATTATGTTTACTAATACAGACCGTGTCACCATCAGGTCATGTCACCACCATACCACGCTATGACTTTACAGTGCCACCCCTCAGACCGTGCAAACACTATACCATGCCACCCCCAAGTACGTGTCACTATCTTACCGTAGCACCCACGGCCACCTTTAACTCCTGGCCGCGGCCTTCGAAGTCGCAACATCGCAAGCAGGGTTGTAACAGCTGTTTTTTTAGGCAGCTAATGGTTGTGTATGTTTTAAGAATACGAACGCTTGGTTACTGATCTATGCAAATTTCGACTCCTCTTTAAATGTGCAAAAATATATAATCAATTAAAATATTGTTTTGTTTTTCAATTCTATATGTTATATTTTCAATCTGTTATTAAATTTATGTTCATGAATTTAAATTAAAATGAATACGCGAATTAATGAGCTGGTGTTACCTGTCTGTCATGTTATCTTATGGGAAGTCTTGCGCTAGACAACACTACTTGCAATGTTGCCAATTCTACCAGGCCGCGGCCTGGAGTTAAGGGTGGCCGTGGTAGCACCACCATACCATGCTACCATACCATGCTACCACACTACTGTGCCACGCCCCAGACAGTGCTACACTCCAGACCGTTCCACCACCCTACCGTGCCACCCCTCAAACCGTGCCACCCCTCAAACCGTGCCACCACTATACCATGCCACCAATACCATGCTACCACAATACTGTGCCCCGCCCCAGACAGTGCTATACTCCAAACCGTGCCACCACCATACCGTGCCACCACTTTACCATGCCACCACTTTACCATGCCACCCGTCAGATCGTTCCACCACTATACCTTGCCACCCCCAAGACCGTGCCACACCAGAGACAGTGCCACCACTAGAGATGTTTTAAACCATAAATAAGATATTACCCAGTCCTTTGAAGGAATCAAATAGGAAGGAATAATTGTAAAATGAAATATAGTTATACAAATGTTCAATTATTTTCCCCAATACAGACTGTGCCACTTCCCAGACCGTGTCACCATCAGATCATGTCACCACCATACCGCGCTATCTCTTTACGCCATCACAACCGAGCCACCACCACAGCGCCGTCACTTCACCATGCCTCCCCTCAGACCGTGCTACCACTATAACATGCCACCCCCAAGTACGTGTCACCATCAGATCATGCCACACCCAGGCCGTGCCACCACCAGACCGTGCCACCAATAGACCGTGCCACTATCACAGTGCCGCCCCCAGCCCGTTCTACCCAAACATTGTTTTTAGGTGTTTAAGTTGAAGGTGGGATGGCTTAGGGTCATTATGTCGTCATTTCCCTACGCCATATATATATATCCGTTTTTCATTTCGGACTTTTACTAACCATTGTATAAACCAATTACTGGCACTTTAAATTATTCTTTAGTTTTTCTCTTGTTAAGTGGTCACTAAAAAACAAGACCACGTTGAGTGCCATATTTTCACTATTTTCTAATTGAAAATATTATTGAGATTGAGACTGCATTTAATAATATATTTGTAAGCCAATAGTTCTCCACTAGACCAAACGAACTGAATTTAGTTGACAATGGCAACGCACTCAAACAATACCATACTTTAGACACACAACAAGAAAACTTCATATTTTTCATATTAATTAAAGATGAATATTAAACATTCATTATACAAAAATGCATTCATACGTTAACACTTTAAAATGGGTTTTGCTTTATTAACTTTTATCCAAGGGAGTATGTTTTATGTATGTTATATTCATTGTATACGTACGAAAACCCATATAGTCTGAAAATATTGTATTAAATGTTAGCAAGTAGTGGCTAACTTGTTTGTGGAAACAGCTGTTGTTGGTTCAGGTCAGTGAAGTCTGCTGAGCTGTCTGCTTTAAAAATTTATAGTACACAGTGAAGTGTCAAGCGAAAACTTATCGTGCCTTGTTCACGTTAAAATTGTAGGATGTCGTAATTGCAACATTTAAGTTCTTATATATATTTTATTTTACTTTAAGTCACCATAAATTATATTTTATCCACGTTTGTTTAGTTAATGTTGTATAGACACGCTTTTATATCTCTCAAATACAATTTAGAGGTTAAGTAATGCTTGCTTAGTCTGTGGTCTAAGTTATAATCTTTATTTTCAAATTAGTTTGTATAAACTAACTGAATTTATTACAGCAATACCAATGGAATTTTTTGTTTAACTATAACGTATTTCCAATATCAGAAGGATGATGAACTATGCAATCAAACCTCGATCAAGGACTTTCTTTAAAAATTTAAGATTGTGGATTTGTCTGATCATCAGTAGTATGGTCATTTTCACCTTGATTTTGTTTAACAGACAAAATGATTTGGGAATCAAAGTATATGATTCTACAGTAAAATTTCCTGAGATTCTCAGGGCTGGTAAGTTGACCTCATTTAGTTTGTTAGTTTAGGCTACCCATTTATGCCTGGATCACTGCTACAAACCTGAGACATTGATTTTTTATTTGTTCTGTCTCCTATTAAATTTACCAACCTGTGTTAAGTTACACATCGGAGAATTGACATCTCAATTTTATTACATTTTCATTAAATTGGACTTAGGCTTATTATGTTACTGTACACACCTTTAATTTTGAAAGCCTAGCTGTAAGTTATGTTAGGCTAATAAAGCAAAGTAGGTATAATTAAAGTCCATTCCATAACCAATGGATCCAGTTTGGCCTACTAACTTTCAGCTTATAGAGCTTGATTTTAACTTAACAGAGCATAATTTTTATTTACCTGTAACAGGGAAATTCCTGACTGGAGAGATTCTTGCAGCAGACGATACTAAAGTAATAAAGCGGCTAGCAAGCAATTTCTTAGTGCCTCCTCCTGAAGTAGGACCTAAATTTAAGTACAACCTAGAAAATCCCAAGCTTAAAGATACTTCAATGGGACAAGCTGAACAGATTAGAAAAGTTCTAAACAATAAGGTAAGTTAGGTACCGTAACCTTACATCGAGCAATATGCTATCTAGGTTAAGAAAATGTAAATCTTTATATGCCTAGGGCCTTTGAATAGAACGTATACAGCAAAGAGTACAATACTAAGATTACCTACTACTGCCTATTGTTAAAATTTAGTGGCGTGTAAGTTAGGTAACCATTAAATTGCTGCCATTGTTTCGCTGTCTGTTGCCCTATCGACTGAGCCGCCGATCATCTAGTCTTCAGTTTTCTTGAACGTACAATTTTTAGGAAAGGCCTAGGCCTACTTCTGGTTAACTCAGCATTAACTTACACTATCATTGGTGGGTAGCCTTCAGCCTGCAGAGAACCAGTAACTTTTTATCGGTTTAAATATCGATATACAGGGATTATAATTCGGTTCGATAAATTAATTCTTAAATTTTTTTCTCGATTTAAGTTAAATATTGAATCAAGTTATGATCTCTTTACATTTTTATTGGTGTTTATTAAATGTTAGAGACGTATAAATAAGTTAGGTATTCAATCAAAATCTAAATATATTCTATGCACAAAACAACAATAACCAAAACTTATCGATATGATTAGGCTAACGCATAGGGTAAAAAATGGATAGCCTAGTTTCTTAAATTGTTAATCATAAAAATTTTAGCTATGTTTAAACACGAGGAGGATTGTGCGAGATTTCTGTCGAAAAGTGAAAATTGCTCGTGTTATTTAGCGTCGTAAACAGAGTATTTTTACCAGTGTTTTTACGGGGCTCTAGTGCATTTTGCTATTCCACGTGTAAACCATGGCTTACAATAATGTTCCTATTGAAGAAAGATCTTCTGTTCCTGCAACTCAAACTAATGCAGTGACTGATGACAGTAAAAAATGGACTGATTTAGAAACAGAGAAATTAACTTGATCGTTGTTTATAAAGAAAATTTTTTGGAATGTCACATTGACTTCAGGAGTAGAGCAAACAAACATGAAATTGTGCAAGATATCAGCGCAAAGATCAACGTCCGCACTAGTGAGTACTACTACTATCCGCAGTACTATCCTGATAATTAGACCAATTCGTATATACCAAGGAAAAAATGTGGTTCGGATTCCACTATAAACTGTAGGTCCCTTAGTTGCCATTAGCTGTTTGGGCTATTAATTAACAGCTGTGTCTAAGGAATGTCGGCCTTAGTCACTAACAAGACTACAAGATCGCGCCACTCATCCTACACTCATCTCCATTCATACTTGGCTTAAAATACCTACATAGTATGGTCGCCATTTCATAAGATAGTATAGTATAGTATAGTAACACCGATGTTGCAGAAATGGCATATTTTTTTTAAAAACATCAAGCATTGTAGCAAATTTTCCCCAGTTAAGTTTCATGTTGGTGGATACCGTTAATTCTTCTATCAGTTGTGGGTGAACCGATAGTGATACTGCTTCAAGAACTTCACAGCGACAAAATTCCTACGAAGCCACAATGAATTTCGCATCATGTTGCTGAAAGTCATCAGTGTCAGGCTTGTAGTCTTTTGTAGGTGGGCGACTTCTCTTAGGCCTACTTGCAATTAAGTTATTTTTAATTATTTCTTGTCTTCCGAAACGATTTCCCAGCAAATTTAACATTTCTTTTACATTCTCGGGATGTATCAATAGAGGGTTGAAATCATATCTTCCGCTTTTACAGACAGGGACTTCTGTCGTCTGAAGATTCTCTAGGTCCATATAATCATTCAATTCAGTCGAAAACGATTGTACTCAGTTAAACCTGTAAGCGAGCCATTGATCAAGATCTCCTAGCTTGGCAGAGGTGATAAAACCGTAGCAGGCATCTTGTCTCCAACCAATTTTTCTTCCTTGGTTAAATATCATCCTATATATTTTTACCATGCATTTCCAATTGATTCAAACTCTTTGTCGTTTGGATAATTTTGAGGTTGAGGGCACCAACGCTCAAAATTGAACAATTTAAATTCTTAACTAATAAAATAAGTCATGCTCTTTGGTTTACAAACTCCCATTTTACTAACCATGACACCCTCAACTATCAACCACTAATCACAAGCATTTGTCAAAATAAAACATGTGGGTAGAAAAAGTAAACTTATAAAATAAAAACATAACATTTAATTTGTAACTAGCTAAAATCATAGATTAAACATACTCCCTTAGTAGATTTTCCATCCTTATGGAAAAGCCAAAGGCAATTTTATCGTTAGTTCTGTCTGGTGCAGTGTAGAGGTTGTGTTTTTTTTTACAATTAGTTTCTTGTTAGGCCTATTTATTAATTTAAAACCCTGTTAACAAAAAAAAACAAAATACCCCCGCCGCAGCAAACCTGCAGACTAAGCGAATTTCCATTGACCTGATTGGATTTACACTAAAATGCCTCCATAAAAATAGCACATTTATTTTCTATTTAAATAGAATTAGTTTAACAAGTACCTTAGGTTTGCTGCAACAGGGAGGGTAAAAAAGATTTTTTTATAAAATGATAATAGTTTAGTAAGAAATAAAAGTATTTTCAAAATCGATCAAAATATGTTCATAAACAAGCAAACTACAACAGTTGACTTCTCCATAAGAATAACATGGGAATTTTAAAATTACAATTTTTTTGAATTTTCTCCGTAACAATTAGGCGCATAATAACGCTTCAATATACTAAATTATTTGTTTTTTTAAGCTCTACAAGGTGGTTTAAAAAGAAATTGTGAAATTTTGTGTTTTTAGCGGCAAAAATGGGAAAAACCTATTTTTACCCCATAAAACCCCCCATAAACCCCCGTTCCCATAGTCCGATCATGCTGGTTCGCAAACTCATTCAAGTTTATCCCGCCTTACACCTTCAAACCAAATTTTATCAAAATCGGACAAAAATTACTCAAGTTATCGTGCGGATGGACACACATATATATATATATATATATATATATATATATATCTCTATATATAGATATATAAAAATTTGAACGAATGGTGTTTTTGGCCTCTGGGGACATCAAAATGAAAAAGTAAATCGGTCCCGGGCTTAGGTCTTACCATGAGACCTACGGTAATAGCTACTTCCCTATAGGGAAATTCGCTAAAAAAAAACTATATAATCGTAAACAATAACTAACTCATCCTCCAGTTATATATAACCATTCAGTAAAGCAAAAATCATTAAATTAACTTTACAGTGTGTCCACATTCTGGAAAGTCAGGGATAGTCATGGAAAGTCATGGAAAAAAATGTTGGTCATTGAAAGTCAGGGAAATAGGCAAGAAGTCATGGAAAGTCATGGAAATTTCCAATTATGGATGGATTTCAGGGGAGCATTCAATACTCTAGTCAGCTGTAACCCGGACTGTTGTCGATGAAAGATCCATTTTTCACGATTTTTCACAAATGTTCGACAATTCAATTTATTACAGTTGTATTATTTTATGAGTTTTCCGTTTGTTTTAGTTCATTGTTGTACCTATTGTACTCCATTGTTATCTGTTATTACATATTTCAGTATTTACTGCAAAATAACATGTCCAGGCAGTTATATTTGTGTGTGTATGTTATATTATAATTTGCGTGTAAAGTTTGTGAGTCATGGAAATCAATGGTAAATGGTCATGGATAGTCATGGAAAGTCATGGAAATTAATGACAAATTTTTTGTGGACACCCTGGAAGAAATAATAGAAACAATATTTTGCAACACTAGCAAGACAGACATGGTACTAGACACCAAAAACGAGCTTATTAATTTACAATGAGATGGGAAGTCTACTTGTGTTGGGTAGCTTATGCTGAAATTTACCAAAACCTGGTTTTGGGCTAGTAGGCTACCTAATAGATATTCATAATTTAAGTTTTTTCTAAATACCAGACCGTCACACACCTTTTGTAGCAACTGTTAAAACTAGTATTAAAATTAGGCCTACATTGGTAAGTGCATATCCGAGGCGGTTTACAAGGCACTCTCACATATGGAGCTAAAAGGCCTTCTTTAAACTTGAAAACCAACCAACTAGGCTACATGGATTATCGGTCGTAATTGAAAATTATGTATGTGTTGCAGAAAACAATTTTTTCTTACAACATTTTATTAAAACCCATTTTGACCTCATCCACCCAGCTTTGAGGAACAAGGTTTTTTTTTAGTCTAACATATATATAACCAGTGCTCGATTTGCAGGGGAACGCGGCGTAATACAGTTCCGGTACCTCTCTTCAGAAAGATAGAAATATTGGCATAAATAGGTACTAATCACATTAAATAGAGGTTATAGTTCCGTCACCTAATTTTTATACAAATCGTGCACTCGATTTAACATAAACAATGGAACTTTTGTTGTGTCTAGGCCTACTTTTAACAGGACATATTCTGGCAGCCAAATAGTCTCCAAACACTCACATTTCTATACTTCTCATAGGACTTAAAATCCTGTAAAAAACCAAGTAGTTGTCACAAAGATGAAAATTAAATGTTGTCTTGTTTTCAAATATATTTACAAATGTGATATCAAAAGTGCACCAGTGCAGGTTTCTTTACTTAAACAACTATAAAAAGATTAATGTTTCGCTATAGTTTCATGTTTCATAGTTGTTTGACAGCCTGAAACATAGAAGAATCAGAGCAGAACAGTTCACCCGTGCAAGGTTGTATTAGTTGCCTTTGAACTGAGACTAATTATTTGGCATTAATTGTTTCTTCAAAATATTCTTTAACTGTCGCATTTAAAGTTTTGATAGCTATACCAATGATCCTCAAAATACTCAATAATATGATAGTATGTGTACTGTGGGATTGTCTTATCAATTTTACATATGTATCATAAACACTGTAATCATTCATCTTAACAACTTTAATGACTAGATAACTTTTTATCTGATCATTAATGCCTATATATACTTAAGCACCTAGTACTGTTGAACTATAATTGTTTGTTGGTTTGACTGTTTTCCAGTTTAAGCTGAGAATTTATGACCCCGAACAGGATAACCACACTAGATAGGGTGGTTTTGAATTAGTTGAATTAATCTTTGGGCAGCTGAGTGGATCATCAAGGTAGCTGATTCAATCATGAAAAAAGTCCATTTACATTATTTTACGGTTCAAAATGAACCCAGCTTTCCTTGATCATTGGGCTTTATATAAATAGTCCCAGGTATCAGTTTTGTAAAAGACGGAGGATACAAGTTCAGCACTGGTCACACTCTTATTAATTAAAAATCCGTACCATTGTTCATTTGTAGCAAAGATCTAATTCTTTAGCCAAGACCATTAATTAAAAGCCCAATGATACGGGGCAGCTGAGACCAACTTTCATTCGTAGAGTAACTAATGTACAAATATTTAAAGAACCCTAACCTGACCTATCTTGGCTAATTCAATTACTAACCAATCATAAAGATTGCTAAAATCAATTAAATTAACACTAATTAAATTTGAACCACTTCTATTTCTTTCTTTATTACACCTCTAATACTATCAAGCATTTCTAGAGTTTAAGACTGAATGCTAACTACTGGTACAATTGTCTGTTCATCAGAGGAACGGGTTCTTCATAGAGTGTGGTGCGCTGGATGGTGAGACTCGTTCCAACACTCTTTACCTGGAGAGGTTCCTAGACTGGACAGGACTGCTGATAGAGGCAGATCCGCTCAACTTCAGCCAGATGCTTCATAAGAACCGCCGAGCCTGGCTGTCTCCGACCTGCCTCAGCAAGACAACACATCCGCAAGTGGTAGGCTATGTCATTAAAATAACATTAGAGAGTACACATCACAAATCCCAAGTTAAAGTTGTACCATTAAGGAAAAACATTTGGACTTTGTAACTTACAGTAGAACTCAGTGAATGTCAATCACTGACTCACGGGATAAAATACTAGTTATAATACAGTGGTACTAGGCAGCTGGCTCTACAAAAGCCAATCAATATCATGCCACGATAGACTTTTCATACAATAGACACAATTGGCAGACATGAAGAAGTTATGGAATGGATTACTGCAACTCTAAAAAGCTCTCCTTAAGATGATCCAAATAACTGAGAATCCAGTTGATTGGTATTACGATAATTGGAGTTTCATTAAAATTCATGTTTGTTGCCCCTGAGCTGTTGGAGATAATGTAACACTAAATTAGGCATACCGCAAACAAGAGACTTTTTCTTGGCCGACTGTCTGACTGGAGTTGGGTGTACAATCGAAAAAGTCGTCAAGACTGTTTGGTCGTTGACTGTACAGTAGACGCCCTCTTATCCGGACACCTTTTAACCAGACTACACTCAGCGGAAATAACATCTCTTTAACCGTACAATTTTTATCAGCACATCGGTTTAACCGGACTAGATCGGCAGGAAGTGGTGGGTGCTGAAGTTACTGTACTCGTGAGAAAGATTTGAGACCATGTGATCACGTGTCTAAATACAATGCTCGCTCCTAAAATTAAGTCAAATACGTTTTAACGAGTTTTTGAGGACATGGGTTTAACCGGAAAAACTGTTACCCGGACTGGCTTCGGTCCCGAGGAGTCCGGATAAGAGGGAGTCTACTGTAGGTGCGCACACGCCCAGGGCCGGATTTAGCATTTTTGCGCCCCTAGGCCCAATTAATTTTCCGCCCCCTAGTCTGGTCACAGTTACTTTCCTTCAAACCTTTATTAAAAACTATATCATGCCCATAGGCCTAAGTTAATTGCTTGAATACCACTCCTCGTTGGAATCATTGCAAGTTTTTTTTTTTAGAATTGACTTGTTTAGCCTTAACAAAATCCCGTCTTAAACACTTTTAGCAATTTTATGCTTTTTTTTAATAATTGCTCACGTTTGTGGCGTGGGGGTGGGACTGAAACAAAACAACTGAACCCACTGAGCATTCCTGCAAAAAAACATGGCAATTGATTCCAATTATTCCAGGCCCAAAAGCATGAACTCCATACAGTACGTGACACCATAGATTAAACATACGTACTCCTTTAGTAGATTTGTCATCATTTTGGATTAGCTGAAAACAATTCTTGTTATTTAAAGGGGATGTTTATCTATGTTTAAATCTAGTTTAACCAAAATAAAACGATCTAATCATCAACAATAGGTCGTCTCCTGTTTATATTACAAGAAATTAAAACACACATCATAGAACTAACCCTAAAATAATAGAAACAAAATTACGTCAAAACTAACGTCCAGTGTCACAACATGAACTACACATGGAACAATTTTGAATTGACAATGTTATGAGAAGTCGACTTGAGTTATATTTAATCCATGGTCGTACTGCATCTAGGTTATATTTCCAAAGCAAAACAGAGCAATATTCCGGCCAACCGTACCGATCCTTAGGCCTGAGGAGAAAATGACAGCATTAATGGTTCTTTGGAGGTATTGAATTTTTCTAAAATTGAATGCAAACTGAGAGTAATATTTTTTCGTTAATTGCAAAGGTAAATTCATTGTTGTTTTAATATTCAACAAAACTTAGCCTATGATATACTTTAACTTGATCCTGCAGATAGTTGTAAACTAATCAAAAGATTAGTTGATAAATAACTTTTGTTTTGTGATGTGAGGGTGGTAACAATGTCATATCTAGCACGCATGCGCCCCTTATCACTCTGATCAGTAGTGCCGAGCCCGACCCAGCATAGTGGCAGTGCTATACGATGCGTACCCCTTGGGTGCTCGTCAACGTCAACATCCCTACAGCCTACCCCCGTATAACCAATGTTTGTTAGCAATTTTGCAACGAAATTGATGCGTAATTCTGAAAATATAGTTTAAATTTCATAACAATTATTTCTTCTTATGAACTTTAGAATCACAATGCTTTGGAGTTTTTTTTATCAACTATGACTATTTATTTTTATTTTTAGATAGCCTAGGTATAAAAAAAATACTCCGGCCATGCGCCCTCTGGGACCTCGCGCCCATAGGCCCGGGCCTACCGGGCCTATTGGGAAATCCGGCCCTGCACACGCCACGACTGTTTAGTCGTCTTTCGAGTGTTAAAAAGATGTATATGACAGAAACTGCTCTCATATTATTGTGTGTTTCTTATCAGATTTTGTGCATGAAAACGTAAAAGAAAAGAAAATACTGGGTCCATCCAATTCATAGTCTGAGAACCTTGAAAGGCCAGATTTACCTTTTATACTCGGATTTGAGGAAATATCAGGACAAATTGTTCATTTACTCACGAATGAGTGTTGATAGTTATTAATATTATGTCTGAATACTCCTACAAAGACTTTTTATAAAGATCTGGACGGCCATGCCACTTTATCAACTTTTTCGTCTTGCAAAACACTTGCACTTGACGCAGCCACAACGCACTTGACGCAGTCTGACAGACTTTTTAGTCGCCAGTGTGCGGGTTCAAACAGTCTCTATGCCTTTTCAATATGACACGACAGTTGAGTCGGGGAGCAGTCTGCGGGAAAATGGGTCAGCCCCACAATGCCCCGACTGTCTGGCTGTGGTCGGCCCGTGTCAACGTTCAGATTTACCACTATGGGGCCGACTTTGACTCCCGACTATGACAAAATAGTCGCCTGACAAAAAGTCTCTCGTGTGCGGTAGGCCTTACTTACATAATCCTGTCACAGTTCAATAGATTTTGTTAAATTGGGACATGTTTTGGTTTTAAAACACCAACGTCAGTTTCAAGTATTTGTACAGTTGATTTGTTTTAAACATCGTCAAAAGATAAACACAGTACGGCACAAACAAAATTATGAAAAAGTACTAAAAGAAACATTGAAACATTTAAAAACAGGTTTGTTCTAACTAAAGTTGACAGAATGCACAGTTAGCAAGGGCCACACTCTGTGTACTGTGTTTACCTTCTGACGATGTTTACAACTGATTAATGCTACAAGTACTAGAAGCTGACAATGGTGTTTTAACACCAAAACATGTCCTCATTTGACAAAATTTGTTGAGCTGTGACAGGATTACGTAAGTAATTTAGTCTTACAATTGGAGTTCTGCTGTAGTTGAATGGAGAGTAATGCTGTCCGAGAGAGTAGGCTACCATCAGTTACTGATAACTGTCATACACTGAGTTTTAGCTTGTTTTAGCCAAGCCAAACCAGAAGGACTGTATCCTATAATTGTACTGTATCCTATAGTATCTATTTCACATTCGCAAAAAATCTATCAAATTTTCTAAAACTTAGAGAGAAAATATAATTTTGACTTAGCACAAACTGTTAGGATTAAAATCCATTTTTAGCCCCTGAGCTGTGATATTAATTAAAAATATGTATTTACCTTCGTCTACAGCTCAAACTGTTGTAACTTGAGTTACGGCCATTTCGGCATTATAATGCCATCGTGAGACGTTTAACATTCAGCTGAAGTAGCGTCGTCATAATTAAAGACCAACAACAAGCCAATTAATAAATTAAACGTTTCTGATCATGTAATCGACAAAAGTGAGAAGTTAGGTGTGTATAAAATTAAATGTGCTAGTTGCCCGAGCTTTTACATAGGAAAAACTGGATGGACATACCTTTACCTTTACCTTTACCTTTACCTTCTGTCGTGAACTTTTACCAGAGAAGACTGGATTGTTCATGTCAATAAAAAATTAAAACATCACTTCATACATAAAATTGAATATGAAAACATTTAACTATCATTAATATTTACAGAGTACAAATGGCGAGCAGGGAGGAGAGTGAATCGGCAAAAAACTCGTCAATTGAGTAAAAAGCCATGTCCTTTAGCCACCGCACCAAGACACGTTCAAAGCGGTTTTTCTCAAGCAGTCTAACCCTAGTTGGAAGCTTATTAAACATCTTCAACGCTAAGTCCGGGAAGTGCTTTGAGGTCTTAACTAGCCTACGCCTCGGGATGTCCAGATTAGATCTGCTTCTTACGTAGTGGTCATGTATTTCGCTTCTGGTGGTGAAGGAGGCCTCATGTCGCTTAACATAAACCAGCGAAACCAGGATGTAGTTAGACGGTACGGTGAGTATGTCCAAACTCCGAAACAGGGGCCGGCAGTGATCTAGATAATCACTAGAGGTGATAATTCTCACCGCTGCCTTCTGCAGCAAAAGCAGTCTGTAGCACTCCGAAGCGTGCCCCCAAAGAAGCAGTCCATAGCTGATGTGAGAATGGAACAGGGCATGATAGACCACTGTTAGGTATTTGCGGTCAAGTAGGCTCTGAAGCTTCCGCAGCAGGAACAAGACTCTGGACAATCTCTTGGTGATCACATCAATGTGTTTATCCCAGGATAGCTTACGGTCCAGAGTGAAACCCAACAGTTTTACGGGATCAGCAGCATTATGAAATTCTATTTCGCTGAGACTGCAGAGTAGTAACTGGGTTTTTGACTCGTTCAGTTGTAGCTTATTACATTGGAACCATGTCTTGGCTTGGTCGAAAGCCAGTTCCTGGTTGGCGATCAGTTCACCAGGGTTTCGCCCCCTACTGAGAAGAGTGGTGTCATCTGCGAACATTAGCACTCCCCCCTCAACACTAAGGTCATTGATGTGTAAAATGAACAGCAGGGGACCCAGCACTGAGCCTTGCGGTACCCCATAGGGTACAAGTTGAGTAGCCGATGTCGAGCCGTTAATAGCTACACACTGCAACCTCCCATTCAAATAGGACTCCAGCATACTTAAAGTCTTTCCATAGAGACCATAGTGGCGAAGTTTGTCCAACAAAAGGCTATGCGAAACGCAGTCAAAGGCCTTTGTTAAGTCGAAGTCACATAATGTTAAAAGTATTGAATCTCTATTTTCAAATGCATCTGAGACTTGCTTGACAAGGTCCATAACTGCTGAGGTGGTAGATTTTCCCGACCTGAATCCATGTTGAGTGCTAGACAAAAGGCTATTTCCCTCAAAAAACTCCACAAGTTGTTTTTTCATGATTTTTTCAATTATTTTGCTTAAGACAGGGAGTATAGATATTGGCCTGTAGCTACTTATTTCTTCCGGGTCTCCTTTTTTGAAGATAGGAACCGTCTTAGAAGTTTTTAGTGCATCAGGAAAATGGCCATCGGCAAGACAGAGGTTGATGACATAAGTAAGAGGGGATACTATAACAGTAGCAACCTTCTTAAACAGCGACACCGACATTCCATAGACATCTAGGCTACTTGAGTCCTTACAAGCCCTTATTACACTCAAAACATCAGCTTCAGTAACTAAATTCCATTCACTAAGTCTCACTCTATTGCCAGATTGCATAGGCCCCAGATTTGCAACAGGGTCAATATTAGATGCGGGAATCTCATTCATTATACTGGTCACAGAACCAATAAAAAACTCATTTGCCTCATCAGGACTGGCTTTACAAGTAAACACACTAGGCCTAGTACGGTTACTGTTTACAACACTCCAAGCTGCCTTACATGGGTTTTGCGCCTCGGTTATGAACTTACCATAGGCATCCTTTTTGGCTGTCTCAATCTTACGGCTATACATTCTCTTAGCTTGTAAGTACAATCCATGGAAGTGGTCCCTGACATCAGGTGCAACTGCCGACTGAGACCTATCTTTCAGCATCAGAACTACTGTTTTCCATCTAGCTAACTCGGGGGGTAAACCAGTCAACAACGGAAGGGCACTTTGAAAGTTTTTTAGCCTTAGGCCTATTACTAACACTCTTAGGCATTCCAAGTTTTACCTGCTCAGGGAAATTTAAGTCAAAAAGTCTGGTGAAAACAAAAAAAAACATTTCAAATGCATCTCTTCCACAATGATATGACCATAAATCATTCCAATCCGTGTTTAGAAGGTCCTGTTTAAAATCTAACAAAGCCCTTACATCATTTACATTTCTGAAACTTTGCTTATAACTATCTTTCCATAGAGGTAAAGTGAGTACAGGACTTACCGAGCCACGGGTCGTCTTCACTATTACCGCCTTGTGGTCAGCAACTACAGTAGGGGGAAGCTCCACGGTGCACAGACTTGGATCACAATCGGAAGCAACACTGTCCAGGCAGTACTTGCCCCTGGTGGGCAGTCGATTAAACAAGTACATCCCATGGCTGCGCAGTAGATCCGTGAACCTGGTATTCTCACTACAGTCCAGATTTAGTTTGATGTTAAAATCACCACCAAGGTAGGTCACACAGTTAAAAGTGCTCAGAAATGCAAGGCATTTATCTAAGAGAGTCATAAATAGGGAGAAATCACCACAAGGTGAACGGTAAACAGATACCACCAGTATCGAATAGTCCAACAGAGTTACCCCAGAGAGTTCAATCACTTTTTCTACACAAAAGTCCTTAAGATTGACTACTTTATACTTCAAGTCAACATGAAGATACACTGCTGATCCCCCACAAGTATAAACTGATCTATGAGAAGCATCAGCCAAAACTAGGTCTTCAATAGTTAAAAAACTGTGAGATTCATCTTCATTCATCCAATGTTCAGACAAACACAGTACATCAGGCCTAACCTCACTACACAGGACGGATAAGAGGTTTATTTTGGTCCTTACACATTGGACATTTACATAACATAAACATAGGCCTAGGTCCACAGAAACAGTTTTTTGGGGGGATGACAACTGAGGAGTAGGAGTTAAGAAGTTACTGGTGAAATCCTGCGTGGGCCTAAAAAATGTCCACTAGACCTTCGATAAAATTTCTTCCGAAAAGAATAGTTTCCAACCATAATGCCTTCAGGCCAAATGTCAGGGTTTAGAATTGTGTCTTTCTTGTCCAAAGGAACAGCAGCTTTAAATGATTTATAGTCAGGAAACTTCACTGGGACTTCTTCGCAGAGTATGTTTTCTCCATCACAATAGGCCTGGATATGATTCTTAACAGTATTTACATCAGCATTGACAGACACTCTTGTTATAAATAACCAGGCTTTGTTTGAAACTGGAGCAGACGTCAGTTTAGCGGATTTGTCGATAACCTTGAGAGTACCAAACACCTTCTCATTTCTTAGTTTAGTTTTTGTTTCTATTTCCCCCGCAGTAATATCATTCACTCGAACAGTTTTATTGACATGGATTTGCTTTACGGAATTCTTTTGAACACTAGGCCTACTTTCCAAAGGAACACTTTGCTGGTGAGAACCGCCTTTACCACAGTGGGCATCTTTAGATTTATTAACATTACTCTTCCCGGTAGCGCCAGCGCCATTGTCATTAGTAGAGTTCATTTCACCGCTCGACATAGATTCAGGAGGACTATGAGATTTATTTTTCCTCTTCTTGCCTTCATATGTCACCCACTCATTATTATCAAATATTTTGTTAGCTTTGTTTCTTGGGCGCAATACGCGATCTGAATATTTGTCACTCAAAGCCGGGAAATTTTCATGATTTTTTCAGGTGCGGGCGAAACATTTTGGGAAGTTGCCAAGGTTTCATCTGTTACAGTATCGAGTATAACAGAGTCGTCACTGTCAAGCTGGCCATGGCTCTGAGTTTCAGTTTCAGCAGACCGAGTTTCCACAGTTATTTTTTGCTGCAATGTTGGCAAACCTGTATTTTTGGCCAATTCAGGTGACTCCAGCTGTCGTCTGCTACAATTGCAATTACACGATTTTGAGAGTTCAGATGTGTCGTTGGTCAATAAATCCATTCTTTTATTAAGATCAACGTTGTTTTTAACGACACCTTTCACCTGAGCTACCAGATCTTCCACCATTAAATGTATGTCCATAAATTGCAGACATCCAACAACTTGATTTTTCATTGCGTGCAGTTTCCTGATGCAAGTCCCACACACCCATATCAAAGTACTCATACTAGCTTGTAGCAAGGTAAATTGCTTGAAATTAGCATTGTCCACATTTACACACGTGTAATGAAACTTTTTATTACAAAGAGCACCGCATTCAAGAAAACTATCACTACTTTTTACCACGGAAACACAGGACCCGCACAACTCAGCTACACCACCTGCCGCCATTTTTACTCGACATTCGGAACCAGGTACAAAGAACACCACCCATGTCCAAGAGCCGACAAACAAAAATCATCCTTTGCTCAACACCTGGTTGACAAAAATCATGACATGTTTGATCTGAACACTGGCCTCGATATACTCCACACAAGCAAGAAAGGAAATAAATTGGACACACTAGAAAAATACGAAATTTACAGAGCCTACAGAAAATTATTTTGATGACACAATATTTAATGACAAACTACAATATAAATCACACATCATATTCAATAGTATTTTAGAACAGGACAAGAGACAAAAGGCAGGAGTACAAAGGTCAGCTGATAACACCACTACGCAAAGAACGGTGCAGGATAACTTCAAGTCTACATCCAGTTCAGATCGCGGCAATGTCAACCGGTACCGTGTGTGCGACAGGCCGTTTTGTTGTGTTTTCGTTGATTGTAAAATGTTATTCGTGTTCGCGTTATGTGTTTTAACTATGACGACGCTACTTCAGCTGAATGTTCAATGTCTGACGATGGCATTATAATGCGGAAACGGCCGTAACTCAAGTTACAACAGTTTCAGCTGTAGACGAAGGTAAATACCTATTTTTAACTGTTAGAATTGTTTTTTTTTTTGCAAAAAACTATCTACATCAGTACATATAGATGGGATTAGTACCGGGGTATGAAAAACCAAAAAGTCAAGCTGTACGTAAGAGACGTATTTAGTTAAAGGACTTTTCTATTCTATTTCAAAGGATGTTTTTGTTTCTTTCCAATATACCTTGACAAAATAAATTAATGTGTGTTTTCAAGCACAAAGGAATGAATGTTTAAATGAGGAAACATTAAAAAGTAAACTGAACCACCGACTCACTTGCTTATTATACCAGTCATCACAGCACCACACATGTTTTTTTTATAGTAAACTCATCCAGTTGAGTTTTCAGGTTTCGTTCAAGCAAGACTTCAATGTGGGAAGGATATCAGACAAGAACATAGGTGAGGAGAGGCCAGGATATGTTGATGTTCAATGTTTCCCACTCTACTCCTACCTTCTAGCAATGAACATCACCCATGTAGACTACTTCAGTCTGGATGTGGAAGGGGATGAGCTGAACGTCCTCAAGACGATTCCATGGGACAAAGTAGACATTGATGTAAGTATGCTGCAGTAATATGAGCCTGCAGGTCAATTTGAGTTATGAATGGTTGAAATGACAAATGTAAAACCTAAGTAAAACACGAGGAAACTGAAACTAATTGGATATAGGTGGTAGACTGGAATTGAACTCGTTACTATGCTACGCCTTTTTGGGGTAAGCCATACATGATAAGGCCTATTAGGCATAAACTTATCTAACCTAAACGGAAATATATTGGATGAGATTAGATGTATATGACACCTCAACACCAGGGTATGTATTTTAATGCGAAGATGAGTGTTGAAAAAATGAGTGCCGGCTTTGTTAACTAATAATCAAATGGTTCAGTAGCCAGCAGGGGCAACACAGAATAACATACAATTATATTAAACAACAATGTGAGTCTTTCAATACTTAATTACTTTGAAATGGTGACCATACGAATGTAGGTATTTTAAGCCAAGTATGAATGGAGATAAGTGTAGGATGAGTGGCACGATCTTGTAGTCTTGTTAGTGACTAAGGCCGACACAGCTGTTAATTATTAGCCCTTACAGCCAATGGCAACTAAGGGACCTACAGTTTATAGTGTTAATGAAACTGGTGTAAAATAAAACTTATCTTAATAAGAGGTTTTTTTGTTAAATCATGACATACTGAATATTTTTATTTTGCCAATATACAAAATGATGTCGACTAATGTCTAACTTTGGGCCGTTGGCGTGAGCTACATAGGCAGTCTTGGATACTTTTTTTTAAATACTTTTAATTGAAATGGCGACCATACAAAGTAGGTATTTTAAGCCAAGTATGAATGGAGATGAGGATACGTTAATGGATGGAAATATTGTTGTCACACAACAATGTAATTGTAACCAAACCAAAACAATTAATGTTAATTGTTAGCTTTATTAATGTAATTGTATGTAGTAACATTCGGGAGTAATAGACTGCCTGTGTTCACAGGGAGTGTAGGAGTTTTGCCAACGGGTATAAGGTATTTAGGGTCCCCATCCGCGAATTCCTCATACTGAGGAGTTTTGCCATCGGTTGGGGGCGAGCGAGAGAGAGATTACAAGTGACCGTGAGGGTGGCTTCCGCTAGGGGTGGACAAACCAGACAGGATGCTGATTAACCTGCCTAATACCTAATCTAATACATAACCTAACCTAACATAATCTCATACATTACATTTCCTCCCACTGCGACAAGCGCTGAAGCGCAACTGCATTCCTATGTTCCCTGCATCACCCTGGTCGTCAACACCAAGCGTAGACAACCCTGACAATCGCTCTCTTTCTCCCGCCCCCACTGTTGGCAAATCTCCGCACTAAGAGGTGGCCGACGGCATCCCCCCCATCTACCTGACACCCGTTGGCAAAACTCCGGTTCCCGTTCACAGGTAGTAAAAAAAATCATCTAATCATAAGTCTCTTCTTTTTAGACACTGTCAGTGGAGTTTGTCCACGTAAATGACGGTAAGGATTCCATCCGAGACTTTATGACGTCCAAAGGTTACGTAGTTGCTGCAGAAGTCACTCATCCTGATTGGTTAGCTAACGACTTTATTTTTGTTAAAAAATCTCTTATCTCCTAAACAACTTTATATTAGCCTAGGAAATCTGCCTACTAGAACTTAAACATTCTCTCGTATTTTAAGACATCCTTTTCTACCTTAGAATTCCCAAATGAATTTGTAAATAAGATGTATACAGAGTGACAGAGTTTATTTAATAGTTTATACTTATTGTTTACAAGCTTTAGCTAAAATTTGTACGGTTGTGAGGGGTGTTGTATTATTAGATTGTATGATTTGTTGTTGCACAAATTTAATTTTATTACCTTCATGCTAGTCATTTTCAAATTTTGTGTTTTCTTATAATTAGAGTAAAACATGACAAGATGTTTGGTTTTTTTATCACATTTATTTATGAAGCACACAGAGGAAAGGGATACCAAGATTGCTCAATAAGTATTTAATACTTTCAGTTAAAACAACAATGGTAGCCTTTAATTAAGTGATTATTATTGCAGAATTTTCCTTTTACTATCATACATGCAGAAGACTTTCAAGATGTTCTTAATTTTTTCTATGTATTGATAGCATTTCAAATGTTATACAATATCCCTAAGGTTTAGAGGTGAAACTATCAACAAGAGATTTTTGACTTATATAGGCTTACCTCTGTTAGTAGTCCAAAATTGCGTCTTATTTCAACTAATAATGTTGTTCAAAGCTTACATGTTTCGTTGCACTGCAACATTGTCAGAGCTTTATGTCAAAAACATCAAATAATTTAAACATAGAATAAAACACGGAACATTTAAACATGAAATAACACGATAGCGCTATCATGACACGGCACGGCAGCAGTTGTAAGTAGACTAAGTCTACCTTATTCTATGTTTAAATTATTTGATGTTTTTGACATAAAGCTCCGACGATGTTGCAGTGCAACGAAACATGTAAGCTTTGAAAAACATTAGTTGAAATAAGACACAATTTTGGACTACTGATGGAGGTAAGCCTAGATATAAGTCAAAGTCATTATTCGAAGTCCAGGGGCTATCAGAATGAATAATAAGAGATTATAAGTATAACCATTCATAATACTGTTAGACAGAATCATTAGTTAGGCCTATGTTTGGTTGTTCCAGTAGTATTTCCCATTAAAACTGTCCAAAAGATTTCTCAGAAGAGTTTGTTTTTAACATTTTCTAAATGATCCAAAATCTATTTATACCAACTGCTTACACCCCAACCAAATATTTAATACTCGCTCCAACAAATTTGTTTTTGTGAACTTCAAATTGCCCAACATTTTTCCTTTAGCAATAGCTCAGTGTTTGTTAACAATAGCTTTTTCAATTGTTTCTAATCTTAGTAAATTGTGATATATTTTAAGAAACAGGAGTTTTCTAACCACAAGTTTACTAGCTAATTCTCATATATCTTTCTCACGTGTTGTCTATATCTTTTTAGTTGTAGTATTTACAACATAAGATAACTCTGGTTTATCATTTTGATTTGATAAATAAATAAAGCACACAAAACACTATTTAATTAATTTTGTTTAAAAGGATCTTTATCAAAAGGAAAAATAAAACAAGTCATGACAAAATAAAAAAGTTATAAATAAATTTCCGTTGTGTTTTTAGTGTAAATTTGGAAGTCTACATATTTTAGGTAGGTTTATCAAGATTCCCCAGTCCTTTCTATGTAGGCCTATATAACTAAAAAACCGATTAATTTATAGGATTTTAAAATAAAATCATATACTCAAAGACATTTATTAGGGTTTTTTTAGGATGAACAAATAAATGAAATATTAATTGTGTTTAAAAATAACTGCTTCTATAGTTTAGTTTGTTATCTTATTAATATTTATATTTTCTATTATGTTATTTATTGGTTCTCATTTACTAGTTTTAAAGTAGTTCAGAGTTGTTTGGTCAGTTGAATGTCTTTAGTAAAAATAATATGATTCTGATTGATCCTAGTAATTGGTAACAAATTTACATTATTGTTTCAATTGTGATGTTCTTAACTTAACCTGTCTAATGTCTAAGACTGTGTATTTGCAGTGGAGGAAGTTTTTTAAATGTTTAAACATAGGATTAGAAATTAAATTACTATTTTGGATCAACAAGATATAAGATTTAAACCAGATTTAACCAAGGTTAAAACAAGATTGTTATATTTGTTATAATCAATGAAATATGAAATATTTTTGTTAATGTTTTTTTTTTCTATCATTACTTGCATAATTTTATAACACTGTTAACTATTTATTTTTTATGTTAAGTTAGACAAACTTCCTATACCAAAGACTTTTATTTTAAAATTTCAGCAACAAAACTTAGATCAAATAGGGTCAAACATATTTCTTAAAAAGAAACATATTTCTTGAGTATTAATAATTATCTTAAATAACACTCTCTTTAAAAGGGTTACAATCATAGCTTTTTTGTGTTTCATTCGATTTAAGCATCAAATAAGTTGAGATGTAGCATCAGTAACAGTCTGTGATCCCTTTAATATTAAGTAAAATGACATGTCACAAGAAAAGGTTTGCTCAAAAAAAGTTGTATAAGTGCGTAAAAAAGAATTACAGTAAAAAAGCAAAGGGCTAAGTAAAATATAGTTCACAATTTCTTCAGAAGGTAACAACTGTATTGTGTGCAGTAAAACATGTTGTTCTCTACTGGTATGTAAAATAATATACAGTCAAACAACCCTAAGACAGCAGTTTTGCCCAATGCAGGGATATAGAGGAAAGGGTCTATTGTGGCAGAAAATAATGACCTTTCAAAAACATTTGTTTTGTCACCAAGCCACCAGCTATCTGAGACTTACCCTCCTCAAACCCCTGCCGACATTAATTTTCCTTGTGTGGTTGAAATTAAGGAAGACCCAACGTTTACTTAAACGATAGTGCAGCGTTTTCACCCCATTTGCGAAGTGCCTTGTCAGGGTGGTTTGACTGTAACCTTGCAGCAGAACTCTTATATTCCTAGGACCTTGATTTCGGAACCCACAAATTACAGCAAAGTAATATAAGAAGTTAAAAACAAGCGTTCCCAATAACTAAGCAGCATAAAGGTCAGAAATGTATTGACCAGTTTTTAAATTAATGGTATATACAATTTCTTGGCTTGTAAAACTTGTGTAGGAAAAATACACTATGTATTTATGGTATTTAAAATAAAATATCTGAATGCAATTTACTCTTGCTGAGCCCTTCAAGACTTGTTGACAGAAGGCGAGCGAAACTCAGGTTGGATATTACGAGAAGTAGGTTATTCTGAGAGTATTCTTCATGTGTGGGCTTTCGCAGCTGGTTTCATTGAAATCCATGGTGATGGTTTGGTTTTTGGTGTCAACCGCGTCAAGCAAGCGAAGTATGCATTCCTGCATTCCACGCACGCCGATGACCTCACCCCAGCTATAAGTATACCTGGACGAATTTCTTTGACTTAGTCTCAGCCTAGCCACTAAGGATGCCACTTCATAGTAAGGGCAAAACGTCTGGCAGTGAAATTCAACTGCCGACGCGGTTGACACCAAAAACCATCACCATGGATATTCTGAGAGTACTGTAATGAATATCCTGAGTTTATATATATATTTGGAGGAATTGGTTATTGTGAGATCAGATATTAGGAAAAGTCCATTATCCTAGGGTTAGATATTTGGGGAAGTATGTTATCCAGAGATCAGATATTTGGGAGAGTCCGTTATCCAGAGATCAGATATTTGGGATGGGGATGCTGGGGTTGTCCAATATACAGAGATCAGATATTTGGGTGAGTCTTTTATTCTGAGATCAGATATTTGGGGTGAGGTTGTCCATTATCCTCAGATAAAATTTTTTGGGGTAGTCCGTTATCCTCTGAACAGATATCTGTGGGAGTCCGTTATGCTGAGATCTTGTACTTTTGTGAGTCCAATTTTGGGATCAGAGATGTTGGGCAGAGGTGGTTATCCTGAGGTCAATATAGGGATTCTACTATAATAATAAAGAACAAAATACATAATTTATTTTTAATTTTAGATCAGATATGACTAGATTATCAATGACGCTGATACACACCTGGATGTGTAAGGTTTGGCAGAAATGTTGTAAATATGAGTGATAGGTGAATGAGTGATAGCTTTGTTACTGACTCTCGGTTAGTTGCTAATTTAGCCACAGCTGTTTATTAAAATGTTAACGATCTATGGCAGCTGGGTCCAGTATTAAATCATCAAAAAGATTTAATGTTTAAAATTACCATAAAAGTTTTGACAAGTCTATGATAGATGAGGGATGAGTTAGTTAGGAGGTAAGGTATAATGTGGTGCTAACGAGAAATTGAAATAACATTTTAACTTAGGTAGCTTTGTAGCTATCCAAATCTAGGATATCGATAGTTTGACCTACTTTTGTAGTACTTTGGTAATGTTTGAAAACTAACAACAATGAATACACAAACTATAAAGAAGAACAGGTCCTATGGACAATATTCTAACAGTATTTTCAAATTTGGCGCGCGAAATATCTGTAGTTCTGCACTGAACCACCACTCAGCGCTGTAGTCAAGTTTAGCACGCAGTGAAGTGCGAGAGAGAGCGACATACACTGTTTTCGTCCCCTGTGGGCCAGGCCACGAGAGAAAGAGAGAGGGGGCGAAAACAGTGTATGTCGCTCTCTCTCGCACTTCACCGCGTGCTTAACTTGACTACAGCGCTGAGTGGTGGTTCAGTGCAGAACTACAGATACTTTGCGCGCCAAATTTGAAAATACTGTTAGAATATTGTCCATAGGACCTGTTCTTCTTTATAGTTTTTGTATTCATTGCTAACAATATATTTTTGTAACATTTTAAACAAAAGGTTTTTTTGTCCTGCTTCCACACTAGGTTTTGGAATAGTAGACTTTTAAATTATCACATGCTAAACCAAGAATGAATAATATTTTTTGTCATATTGCAGCAAATACAGGTTGTTTTAAATGCATGTGTTACGGGTCTAAAGTAGCATTTTTACTCTCTAGGGAGTAAAAATCATCTGTTGTAAACAGTTGTAAATTTTGATTGTGGCAATCTTATTGGTCTATTAGATAAGGGCCAATTGTTGTCGATCGCTCAACATATCAAAGGTATAATGTACTGTAACTCAATTGCAATAGACTAAATAATTGAATCACTTAAGCTGACAGCTGCTTAATTGCTTTAGCAGAATTGAAAACAAGCTGGAAGTCGTTTTGAGAGGTTATCTTGACATAAACATTATTTCGTTTTCTAGCTTAGTTTGTTAATTAATGCTGCAATATGGTGAAAAATATAGTTCACCACACGGACAAAAAGAGTCACTTTAGGCTCTAGTGATGAAATATACTATACAAATAATTTTCTTTGTTTATATTTTATACAAATAAGGCACACACTGCTTAGCTACTTATGAAATCATTTATTTTAAAAATGTTGAAGTTTAAAGTATTTTTTATAATATTTATAGCAGTATTTTCATGTTGTTTTATGTATAATAATTTATATATTGAAATATTGAATTTAAAAGATGTAAATGTTTACTGTTAGTAGAGTTTATGAATTGCAATTGTTTAACTTATGTCAACTCCAAGTCCTATATATAGTAATTTGTCCATAATAGTGGAATAGATTTAAGAGGTTATAATATAATTTTTTTGGTAATACAAAATGTTATATTTAATAAACCAATAAACTTAAAAACTAAACATGTGTTATTTTTCTTTACAATCCCTTTAGTAAACAGTCATCTATCTATCTTCTATATCTATAAAAGAGGAACTATGTATGTATATATGTATGTACCTTATGAATACTCCAAAACCCCTCAACAGATTGTAATGAAACTTTCAGAAATTATTAAGCATTATTCAAGGATTGTTTGTGTGAAGTTTGGTGCAGATCCGTCAAAAGAGCTTTGCTCCAGAGGGTTTTGAGTGGGCCGATGTCAGACTTTTTAACTACGATATTTACAAATAAATATAACTAGCTGTTACCATAGACAAAAATGTTACCCGGCAACTGTTTTGTGGGTTTGAATCAAGGCGTATCTTTAATCACAACCTCTAGTAGCACAAAATAAATATTAAATACATACGAATAAATATATTTAAAATCTCTTTTATATATCTCAAGTGTGTATTAATGTCAATTTTATATAATATTTAAAATATATTAAATATATAAAAAATATTTTTTTGAATCTATGAAATATTTAAAAAAAATGTTTCAATAATATATTTTAGTGAATAATATTTAAATAAAAAATGTATTTAATATCACTTCCAAACATCCCATGGGGCCTAAACATAAAAACACAAAATAATAAAGATTTAGTATGAAAAGCACAATAATCAGTTGAGTAAATTGATTAAATAGTTCATTAAAACAAATTTTGAAAAAAAACTCGATAAAATTTTTGTGACCGGGATGGGTCTCGAACCTGGGACGGAGGACTTAAAACAAAAATGAATAAAATCGGTTCATAAATAAAGAAGCTGTGTTTATTTTAGTAATTTAGACTGAAATTATTAATATTAAAATGTATTAAATGTAATGTAATCGTGTATGTAACGTATTAAGTAATTTCAGTCTAAATTACTAAAATTAACACAGCTTCTTTATTTATGAACCGATTTTATTCATTTTTGTTTTGTTGGATTTGTCATAAAAAATACTAAAACTTTTGTGTCTTACAAAATTTTGATTTAGGTACCGGTTTTCATGAAATTTGTCATTAAAAAATTCAAACGGCCGCCATTTTGAAATTTGGAAAGTTAAAATAATAATTTTTTTTATAAATGTTACTTACTATAGTGTAAACAATTTTGCCAAGTTTCGTAAAAATATCTGAAAGGGATTTTGAAATAATAAATATTTTCCCCAAAAAACAAAATGGCGGATTACGGCTAAACTAAGCCGAAATCCAAAAAAAATTATTCTTCATTTTTGACTTATTTTTGCATGTAGAATTAGGTCCTGTATAGCCCATCACACTTTTTTGTGACACCCTGAGGTTTTTTCAAATACAACTTTTAATATAGGCTATAAAATATTTATAAAATACATATTTGTGCTACTAGGGACATGATGTACATGCAGCAAGCGTATTAGTCATGATTTGAAATAGTGCCACAATATTTCCACAGAGTGCAGTACAGAAAACTATTTTACTTTATTTGAATAAGTCCAAATATATTAAACCCCAATGGCAGCACACCTGTGCACTCAACAATGTTTAAATTATCCAATGTTAAATATGTAAACATAAAAACCTTTAAATCACAGTATTATAAACAATAAAAGGAATGGCAATGCATTAATATTTTTATCTTTTGTTCTTTACCCACACAATCTAATATGAATTATTAAGTGAATATAATAATTGTGCGTGCTATCTCGGGTATTCAAATGTATCTCAATTTGTAATAAACCCACCACATTACTGTCATTAAAAGAAGGAACTCCAATAATACTAAGCGAAACTTAAATCCGGCGAAGCTGTGCAACGTTACCAGACTGAAGATTTAAAAAATTACACTAAAATTGATTGAAGCAAAAATTATCAGTTGTAAGTTTAAAGGAGAAATAGTCTTAATCCCAAGAATACTGATGAATTCATCCGAATTCCCTCTGAATTTAAGCAACCACAATTTTCTTTGTGTCTTTGCTTTCGCAATCACCATTTTAAGGCCATATGACAATCCCTGACTATCGTCGGTTTAAATTTAGAAAATACTAGCTGTGTACCCGTTCTACGCACGGGGATCTTATAATATTCAGTTGAAACCTTCTTATATAAAGAACAGCAGTTGGTTTGCATATTTTAAGATATGCTGGCCAAACTATTATACATAGCTTCATTTTATGTTGTTTTTTGTTGTTCCGGATCGGTATGACAATCAATAAAAGGTTAAATTACCTCTGTGTCTGCCGGTCGATCCTATAACGGTAGGCTTACTTTTATTTTTACTATCTGATCTCGTTTGCATGGCTCAATCACGTCCTGGTTGAAGTTCGTTCGCTACGCTCACTCACCTGTATGTTGGAGCTCGTTCGCTGCGCTCACTTTCCTTCAGGTTAGCTCGTTCGCTACGCTCACTTGCCTTCAGGTTAGCTCGTTCGCTACGCTCACTCGCCTCCAGGTTGCAAATTAGCTGTTGTCATAAATGTAAAAGAAATAATAGTGCTAGTGCTGCACCCTGTTGGTAATCCTTGTAACTTTAATGCTATTGAACATCACAGAACAGAACCAACTTGTTTAATTGAAACAGCTGTTAAGATTCAATAATTTCATTTCTCATAAGGTTAACATGGGCTTCCAGAAATTCCACGTCAAAAATCGACAAAAACTTGATTTTCAAGGGTTTACTGTTAAATATCTAACTGTCTCATATTCGATGAAATACGTCTAAAACCATCTCATATATGTATAGTATTTGGAAAATAAGTTTCAGGCGGGACAGTGCTATAGTTATTGAGGAGTAGTTGTAATAAAGTGCGTATTTTAGCGTTACCAAGAGAATGACAGATAGACAGACAGACAGACAGACAGACAGACAGACAGAAATTGAGATAAGGTTTGATTCGGTTTCTCTGACCTATGAAATGTAAAAATAACCAAAAAGTTCATTATTCTAAGCAATGTACAGACAAAACTCTAATTTTATTTATATAGATGCATTCTTTTCACACGGACAGCTGTGTTGCGCCCTCCCGTGGTGGTAGGTACGCCAAAAAACTAATATATTTATATACCAAATGAACAAACAACAACATTGTTTATCCACTGGCAATTAAGTAAAATATTCTATTTTTATTTTTAGTATACATTTTTATTATTCATCGTAAAGGACAAATTACCATTTAAAATAATAACTTAGTTGTTAAGCGTGGCAACGCGCGCCGGGTAACTGCTAGTATACCTATATAAATCCCAAAGTACGTCCATGAACTTTTGAGAAAACTGCAAGTCACACCCCCATAAACCAACTACTTAAAATGTTCATATTATTCATTCTGATAGCCCCTGGACTACGAATAATGACTTATATAGGCTTACCTCCGTCAGTAGTCCAAAATTGTATCAAATTGTGTCCAATTTTGGACTACTGACCTAAGCCTATATAAGTTAAAATGTTCGTCATGATAAGAAACCTTGTGAAAAATTATCCATTATTGCATAAATTGCTCTTTAATGAGCGGGTGTCACCTGTCTGCCAAGTTATCTTATGGGACGTCTGACAGTAAACAATACCACTTGCACGTTGCCAATTCTATCAGGCCGCGGCCTGGAATTAAAGGTGGCCGTGCCTGGAGTTAAAGGCGGCCGTGGCTTGAGCCAAGGCGGTCATGCTTGAGCCACGGCCACCTTTAACTCCAGGCCGTGGCCTTCGAAGTGGCAACATCGCAAGTAGGGTTGTAACAGCTGTTTTGTTTGGAGGCGGCTAGTGGTAGTTTGTGCATTTTTTAATAGTACAAAAGCGTGTTTACTGGCCACTGGGCTATAAAAATATTGACTCCAATTTCATGTACAAAAGTCGATTTTAAAATATATAAACATTGTTTTGGTTTTCATTTCTATATATTTTATTTTCAATCATTTAATAAATTTATGTTCGTAGATTTCAATTTAAATGATTAATACGCGAATTAATTAATGAGCTGGTTCACCTGTCTGCCATGTTATCTCATGAGACGTCTCACTGGACAACACCACTAACAACGTCTTCAATTCTACCAGGCCGCGGCCTAGAGTTAGTGGCCGTGCTTGAGCTGTCTGGCTGATATGAGTACTGAACTGAGTGGGAGTGAGTCTGTCAATCTGAACTGAATCTGAGTGAGTGCGGTGGGGGTGGAGTGGATTGGATGTTCGTTCAGTAAGTTCATGTTTGTTGTTTTGTGTATATACGTCACGGCGTCTTGTATTCTTGATTTTTAAAATTAAGTTTAAAACACAATTTATGTTATTTTTCGAAGTGAATTAGTATGGTTTAAAGGTGAAACTTTAACCATACTAGGTGAAACCAGACCATAGATAGGAATAGTTGTTATTTGATTTTGGACAGTGGTGACAGTTGGTTGATTTTAACCTCTCTTCTTGCAGACAAGTTAAAAGATTTAGATATAAATCTGGTAAACGTTGAAGGTAGCCTATTGACCCGCTTCATTTTTAGAATAATCATTGAATTATATTCAGATTGTATCTCACACGGATTATTTTTGCCCCAGATACTTTAGGCTACACATTATTGTTCTGACAAGTGAACTGCCAGTAGGCCTAAGTAGCCAACAACTACTAGGGGCCTAGGCTAGGTTTTAACACAGCTTTTAAAACTCGGTTCTCCTCCCCGTAAAACATTCAAAGTTTAATCCAAAGATAATGAATGCCACAAACTTATATGTTTCAACTTGCAGATTAGTAATGCAAGCAAATGCTGATGACCCTACTTCTTGGGCTGATTTATATAGGTTAATTCCTTATCTGAGACAGTCCCTGTCTTGTACAGTTTGTGGAAATCTGTTGATTGAACCATACACTCCTACTGAAACCAACTGTCAACATCATGTGTGTAAGTCTTGTAAAGGAGGGAAGAAAAAACTGAAACCGTCTTGTAGTTGGTGTAAAGACTATGACAAATACGTTGAAAATGTTCAACTTAGGATATTGCTTCAATGTTACAAAAAACTGTGTGAATACATCATAAGTTCAGCCATGTATAAAAAAATATCCACTGTAAATAATTTAACTGGAAACAATGTTAGTACTAATCTGTTGGATGGTTCAAACCCAACACTTATAAATCTCATTCAAGAGGGTGCGGGATTTGCTGATGAATTCAGAACCTCTAAGTCATCCAATTTTTCTCTATCTTGTGTTCATACCAACTCCACATCAACACAGACAAACTCTGCTTCAACTTCTACACAAACTATCTCTGCTTCTGTAGCAGCAAGTCCTGAAAGTGCACCGATACCTTTGACTTACAATGGAGAAGAAGAAACTACTAAATCAATTCATAATGGGTCAGCTGTCGTGTATTCTGTGCTTCATGCTGGAAGTGGTAATAAGTTAACTATAAAAAGAAAAGCGTCCGAGTTGGTAAATGACAATCAGGAAAGAAATTCTCCATCTCCTGTAAAAGTTTTATCACCAACACCAAAACATTCTATGGTAAGTAGCCTAAAGTAAGTTATGTTTTCAGATAGGTTAATCTTAAAATATTTAAAAACATTTGCACAATTTATGACAGCTAGCCTGACCATACTACTGGACCGAATTACACGCGGGTTGTAGCCTGGACCGGTAGGCCTACCTACCAAAAGAAAGGTTAGGCCTACCGGTGTCGGTCAAATAATCCGAATAATGTAAGGATACAATGCAGTACTTACGCCTGTCAATACTTATTTCGCTTAATGTTATCGCCTTTATTTTCACGCTCGTTGCGTATCGCATCCACAACTTATTCTCGCCGCAGGTCCGCTATATATCTCAGGACAGGGTGTGTAGCGAACATGCGCTCACCGTCGACTGCCCGGTCTTGAGGGAGGGTGTTTGGCGAACAAGCGCTCGCCATCGACTGTCCCAAGAAATGTCCACTGTCCGCTGGTCACGGCTTCTCCCCACCACGTCTACGTCAGCGCCCCGAGGTCGCGGCGGCCAAGTCACGAACTAGGAGACTTGACTTGCCGTGGACATGTTTGACATTGTTGTCGAGCGCGCTCAAACCTTCACGGCCTTAAAATAATTAAAACTAGAACCCCTCTAATAAAATTTGACCATTACACCTGTAAGCGTTAAGTCTACCATAGGCCTATGTATTGCACATAAACTAAAAATATTGAAATTACATTTACTGTAGGCCTAGACCTAACTTATCTGTGATTACTTACTTTATTTAATATTTCAGAGCCAAGTTACTGAGCCCACAACAAACAGTGGAATAACACCAGTCAAAAAACCAACAAGAGGGAAAACTGGTTCGTCATCAGCAGTGAAGACAGGATGTCGGTGTGGAAATGCGACGGCAATACCTGGAAAATTGACTTGTTGCGGACAAAGATGTGCGTGTTACACAGAGAACAAAGCTTGCGTCGGCTGTAAATGTCGAGGCTGTAGAAACCCACGTAATAGGACTGAAGGGCAAAACGTAAGTTACACCTGTGATATGTAAGTAACGTAAGTGATGTGTATAAAATGATTTTGATAGAGTACACAGAAGACGTTGCGACTTAAGCTGCACATAGGGTTGAGCTTGCCCAGCTGAAACTAAATTGAGTCTAATGCACACCATTAATGCATGTAGGCTATAGCAGACCACGGTCTCTCGCTCATTCTGAGCAAAACTGAGATTGTGATTTTGACTAAAAAAGGATTGACACCATCAATGAGGGTGAGGACCATTGAAATCCGAACCGCTTGGGCCGTCAAGTACCTTGGTGTCATGGTGGACAGCAAGCTCAACTGGCGGGACCAGATCTATGGCGGACGAGGCTGCTAAAGTGGTTTCTTCCCTTAGCCGGTTAATGACCAATGTCGGAGGTCCGCGATCCAGTCGCTGAAGGCTGTTGTCTCCGTAATCCTGCGTAGCCGTAGTCCGTAATCTTGCACAGTGGGGAAGTGTGGGCAGATGCACTCAATGAGGAGGTTTACGGGATATAGCTTGCACGAGTGCATTGTCAGGCAGCACTAAGGGTAGTATCTGCCTACCGAACAGTGTCCGAACTCCATCCTGGTGGTTGCTGGAATCATCCCTGTCAAACTTGTGATGGTAGAGGGGAAAGCAATATATCAGCGGCGCGGAGAGGACCATGCAAGAAGCGGTGCACCTACCGGCTCTGGCAGGAGAGCTGGGGAAAGGAGAGACGGGGACGCTAAACCATGCGACTGATTCACCAAGTCCAACCTTGGGTCCTCACCCAATTTTTGACAGGTCACAGATTTTTTCGATCGTACCTGTTCAGGATGGGCAAAGCTGTGTCACCCAATTGTATCTACTGCCCAGGCACTCCCGACGACGAGGAACACACTTTTCCGCTGTCTGCGTTGGAAAGGCCCTGCTTGGAGGTTCAATACAATGTAGAACTGCTGTCGGTTGACACGGTCATCCTAATGATGGCGGAGGGTGAAGACAATTGGACTTGTGTGTCACACTTCGTCCAGGGTATTCCCTGCCTCAAGAAGATCGACCTTGATGGAGATGTGGCATAAGTAATAAATTAATAACAGAATGCCAGAAACAGTGGGAGCCCTAGGGCTTAGGTTACATGTTGGCCTGACTTGACAAAATGTGAGAAAAAAATCCCAAGTCTGTGTCCAACAGAGTAGAGAGGGGTTTTTGTAGTGAGTAGTCTGGTCCTCTCAGGAGTCTCTCAGGCCACCTGTGTGCGTAAATTCATTTTCGGTCCTCTCCCTAGGAAAACAAAAACAAAAAAACTACCCTTCATCTTGTCGGGCATACGGTTAAAATTTTCAGGTGATCAAGATGATATCTAGCCTATTTTTAAATCTTCAACTGTACCTATTTGTATTTATGTATTGATATACTGTATCCTGCAATTAAATAATATTTATAATGATCTGTATATCTGTGTAGCTGTGGTCAGAATCTACTAATAGTAGGCATAAGCCAACTGTAAACTGGCCCTTGCAGATAACGCACTTGCACAATCTTCCAGATACACGTTCTTTGAACCTATGAGAGAATGATTGAGTACTTTTGCTTATATGGTATATTAGCTGTGGAAGTCATCTTTTACATGCATATATATTCCAGTCTTAACCCTAGAAAGGTATCGTCATATAGCATGACGCTAAGATTATCAATACGTAAATTTGACGCACATAGGAATTGCATACAGTAAGACATTGTCATGCAGTGTGACGCTAAGGGTATCAATATGTAATTTGGACACGTAAGTTTGATGTATGCAATCCAAGAAACCGACTAGCAAGAAAATAAAGAAACACACTAAGACCCAACCAAGGCAGCCATCACAAGGCAAATGACTGCTGAGAGCACTGCTGGAAGGAGGGTAGCGTCGGTTGAAGGGGTGGGGGTATGGGACGCTAAAAATAACTCACCCTACTTCAAATTTACGTGCGATATCCACCTAGGGTTGTTTTTGATAAACTGGTTTTAAATACACTTTTGTTAGACATAAATGTAACACTCACTTCATATTTTAATTCTTTATTCTACAATATAGTCTAATTCTTGTACTATTTGTTTTGGTTCTTTTAACATATGTTTCTAATTCTTCTTTTTACAGTATAATATGAAAGTTTGTTAGGGTTGATTGTATATATTGAGATTATAACAATTGGGCTTTAACATAGGGTTAACCATACCATCGTGTTCATTTTATGGCTTTAGTAGTTTAGATAACTTGTTCTTGTTATGATATTGTGATGTTTTGAATGATGTTGATATTAATTTTTCCATTTTATATTTTAGGGTCTTTTAAGGGATTTTCTCTTTTCCCATTCAACCTCCCAAATAATTTAATTCACTTACTCTAGTCAGAAAAATATTGTGTTAAGTCCTGTGATTCCAAAGAGACTTTGTTCCATCTTTGACATTATTGACTAAAATCATGACACTTGACTAAGTGCAACAGTATTTCTACTATGAAGCAATACAAAAATATCCCAAAGTGTCTAGGTTGGGAACCGGAGATTTTGTGCCTATCAAATTGTACTTGAGTTTTGATAACAAGGCAAAATACTTTGAATCATTGTTGTATAGGGCTGGGAATCTTACATATTTTTATCATTGTCGTCGCCTTTAGCTTACAAACAAGGTTTCCACTGATTCACGGTGCTTCAATGACAGTTGTGTGAATTGTAAAGTAAATAATCACAACTGCAGTGGGTGATGATGGATGTTGCTGCGATCTTGGAAGATTCTTCCAATTTCCTTGTGTTCCTAACAGAGGTTTACGGATGCTGCTAAACTTGCTTTTCCAAAGTGTCACTTTCGGTTTATACTCGCCCCTATGTGCTGCAATTCCTGGACCATAAGCGCATCTCTTGGGTACAATACTACAAGATCGCGCCACTCATCTCCATTCATACTTGGCTTACCTTAAAATACCTACTTTGTATGGTCGCCAGTTCAATTAAAAGTATTAAAGTACGTTGGCCTACCCAATGATTCATAACTACATTTCGATACGATTCTTGATGATACCCAGTGCTTTTCCCTAGAATACATGGCCTAAGCTACACATAGGAAATAAAATTACAAACGTCCAAAACCCCAATTTTGTGCAATTTTTTTCACCTTTCCTCCTAATGATTAGCCGACTAGATAGATATAACAATCATTGTTTTGAGAATACATCATCTTTTATTCAAACCGTTGTCCGGATAAAGGTTGTTTCTTCAATCTGTCATTGATATGTTTACATTAAAAGTTGTTCACAAATAATGCAATTAATCGGAAATAACATTGATTTCCTATAACATTTAGTGAGAAAATCCAAAAACAAAGGGAGATTAATAACCTTGTGACTTGATTAAAGCATTTAATTGGTTGGAAGTAGGCCTACTAAAGTTCTTAACTAACTGTCAACGTTGGTTTTTGGTGCTGGTACTTTTCCTTAGAACCGGTGGTAGCGAGGATCATTATTACGTACCAACCACAGAGAATAGACCATTCCGTCACATTACACAATGGTGGTCTCTTGTCTGTAGTACCAACACATCACTATTTACAGTTTAGTTACTGTTAGAGTTGCAACTTATTACTTACAACAATCATATTCAATTTAATTGATGTTTTACTCTATGAGTTTTGCATTTTCTGTCTGAATTCTGAAATCTTAGTTTATGCTATAAAAATGTTAACACATTTAAGTGAAACATTTTTTGAGCAAACTATCATGAATTGTTAACGCTTTACTTTGTTTACGTATTAATAGTTCGTGGCGTGTGTATTGTAAATTACCCACGAATACTAGAACAGACCCGGTATGGATCATAATCATAAACAAATTATGTTACTGGCACAATAGTAAACATTATTGGACATTGATTGCTCAAATGGAACTCTCTAAACCTAAACCGTATGTCAATGCATCGGACCAGTTACGTAATTTGTTCATATTTATGATCTATAACGGTTTCTGATCTAATTCGTTTAAATTACCGATTTAAATTGTCTTTAGTACTTCATTTCTTATAGTATGCCATGATTTTTGACACCATTTTAGGTCATCTTCAGATTAAGCAAATATAAATTGTCATTACAGACGGTATTATCACTGCACGTTAAGTTAATACGATATGATAAAATTTGATGACACTAACAAATCTTTCAAATACTAATTTTAATCTACTTTGCTTTGGTTAAAGCGAAGCAAATGTCCTGATTCAATTCTGTATTTGTGTTTATGTCTGTTGGTAACGCATTAATGTCCTTATTTCTCAGTGTTTTGTGGAAAAGACAAGAGCACCTTAGTAAATGAAAATTTCAACCGGAATAAAGTAGGCAATGGTGAGGTTGAGGTTGTATTATAACTACTTTTAACCAGTGTGGAAAGTAGCTTTAAATTATGGACCTACCTTAGTGCTATGCCTCATATATCTATAAAGCTGTTTTTTTTGGCAAAGCATTTGTTTTGGCTTGAAACGGTCAAATAATGTATTTGCATTTTGCGAAGGTTTATATGTATTCCTATAATAGTTTTGCCAGCATATCTGGAAAAATGCTCACTTAATATGCAAACCAACTGCTTTTAGCGAATTTCCCTATAGGGAAGTAGCTATTACCGTAGGTGGCACGGTAAGACCTAGACCCGGGATTGATTTACTTTTTCATTTTGATGTCCCCAGAGGCCAAAAACACCATTCGTTAAAATTTTTATATATGTATATTTATATAGACTCATATATATATATATATACGTCCGTGAACGCGATAACTTGAGTAATTTTTGTCTGATTTTGATGAAATTTGGTTTAAAGGTATCAAGCGGGATAAACTTGAATGAGTTCGCGAACCAGCACAATCGGACCATGGGAAAGGGGCTTTATGGGGGGTTTTATGGGGTAAAAATTGGTTTTTCTCACTTTTGACCCTCAAAACACAAAATTTCCCCTATTTCTCTTTAGACCTTTTTAAAGAGATTAAAAAAACAAATAATTTAGTATATAAAAGTATTTTTGTTCAATTATTAGTAACGGAGAAAATTAAAAAAAATTTAAATTTAAAATTCCCATGTTATTCTTATGGAGAATATTGTCAAATGTTGTAGTTCGCTTGTTTATGGATATATTTTGATCAAACTTGGCAAATTTATTTATTTTGTACTAAGCTATCAATATTTTACTCAAAAACACACTTTATTAGTTTCCTTGTAACAAAAACCTAAATACTCGTTAAACCTAATGTTATTAAAATATATTTAACTGAAAATCAATTCAGACAAATGGAAATTCGCTTAGTCGGCAGGTTTGCTGCAGCGGGGGTATTTTGAATATAAATAGGTTTAAACTGACTGCAAGATCCCGTCTGTAGAACAGGCACACAGCTAGTAAGATATAAATATAATTTTTGTTTGTGGATTACTCCTCTTATTTCCTGTAGTTTAGTTTGTTAAAAAAACATTTAACATTTCTACCAGCTAACCGCAGCTTTTGTTCTCAGCCGTGTAACTATCAGATGCTGACTGAAGATCCTCTAGTCCCTCCACAAAGCGTCTCGCTCACTCCCAGCGATCTCGTCTCCACGGCTGGAGGAACCGTTCAGGTCCTGTCTGTTACTTAATGTTACTTAACGTTGTAGATAGACATTGTAGACTTAGCATTCCAGTCAACAAAGAAGGCAAGGTGGGTGTTTGGATTTTATGTTCTGTAGAATATTGTTTATATTTTTAGCTGTTGTGTAGTTTCTAGAATTGATTTTGAAGCTGTGATTATTGGACTGGACTAATTATTTGAATTTGTTCAAATAGAGCGTGTGAATGTGGTCAACTTATTTGTTTTTGTTTTTAGTTTTAGCGAATTTTCCATATAGCGAATAAGCTCCATATTCCTGTCTTACGATTGGATTTAGAATTGTAGTTAAGCTAGTGTATATCTGTTGTGATATATAAAGGGGTGTTGGAATGAAAGTCTTTACACTTTTATCCAGCCTAGATGTAAATTTGTAGCATTAAGAAGACCCATATTTCAACGGTGATGTTTGGTTGACAGGTTGTGGGGGTGTATACGACTCAGCTCCACAGCTTGACATCAACTCCGCTACTATTGGATGCCAACACTGCTGTGACAACCATTGGAGCAGACGTTGGAGCAGAATCTAGTGAACAAATCCTCCCATAGACATTCAGTACCCTATAGTGAAGAATTGCATTTGTGAAATGAACGGGTTCTTATTTTTGTATGTGTAAAATTCATCCTCATAGATTGTAAGATTAAATTATTAGTGAAACTCGTGTCAGTTTTTTACATACCGGTAAACCAATTCATACTATTTCACAGAATGTCCTCTATTTCTAAATGTGGTGCATTCCGTGTTATTTATGAAATCAGTTTGCTATTCACAGGAGCTTATACCTCTAATCCAATGATGGTCATAAATATTATATATTTGCTTAACCCTAGATTTGTTAAAAAAAAACATAGTGATCAGATTTTGTCTACAGGGTGATACTTGATATAAATGTTTAATTTAATTAAGATGGTGCAAAATTATATTTTTTAAGTTAAATATTCTTAAATGTGGTTTCCCCTCAGAGGCTGATTCCAGTTTAACATTTCTAGACGGTCAAGCTTTGACAAACATTCTATTTGAAGCTTGTAAAAAAGAAATTAAAAACACAATGATTTAGCTCCTTTATAATCTTGGCATACCCCTGCTACCAATGGTGGATGATGCTTGTTTTTGCAGCGGCTGTGGCAGTGGTGGGGACGTTAGGACTACTAATGTTAGCAATTCTACTCATCATTAGAAGGATAGGGATTTTTAATGAGTTTGAAATGACAGAGCTTCTAATCCAGGTGCTGTGGCATATGATGTTGAAGCTAAAGACAAAAAGACACTGATTTTTTTACATGACAAATCTATCGAGATCTAACTATGATGCATTCTGAAACATATTTTAACTTTTGTGGGATGATACAAGTTCTACAGCTATTTTATTTGGTCCATTATAAGGTTTAATGAACTTTTTTCATAGTTTGGGAGGAAGTTTGCGAGTTTCTTCTCATTGTTCTTGCATTACTGCAAGGAATCAACTTCTCCACTGAAGAGAAATATTATCTTGTTGGCAGGATTTGACAGTGAGCTGGGGGAGTCGTAGAGTAAAAGCTCACATATAACTCAATGCTTATTCTAGTATAAAGGCTCTCATTTAACCCAATGCACTTACCAAGCTGCAAGTCGTAGCGGCGTGTGGCGGGCCGCAGAGTAAACAAGGAGCCTTAGTCACCTAAACTAAGCTGATGTTGGTGGATAGCTTAAAACTACCCAAAGATTTGGTGCTAGGTAGAAAAACATATTTTATTTTTTTATTTTGCTCGACTTTACGCCAGGGGGCATTTTTGTAATGAAGTTAATTCAAATGCTTTTAAGGGAAAGCGGTCCAAACCCATTAGGCATGTTTAGTGGATGTGTCGTGGAATGAACCCGTCCCTCCGGGACGCTAACCACTACGCTAGCAAGACACCCAATCCCACCCATCTTAAAGCTCATTGTTTCTAAGAATATGCCTTTCCAGTCGAAAAACAACCTGAGAGTCTAGTTTAAAACAACTAAGTTAAGTTTGAGATTACCAGTGTTATTAGTTTCAAAGATCATTTGGTCCGATCAACGGCTTTCAACTGTCTAAACAAGGTCTGGTGTGCAACTAAGAAGTTGGAATAGACCAGAATAGTAGGCAACACAGTTGGAAATTTACAGGATGAGTAGATTCTTTGTAATTTGCACCTCAAATCAGTCATTAATGATACTAGTTGTCACCCCATTTGACTTCATAAGTATTAACATAGTCTAAGCATGTTTTATATATGGTACTAGCTGTGTACCCGTTCTACGCACGGGGATCTTATAGTAATCAGTTAAAAACCTTCTTATATAAAGAACAGCAGTTGGTTTGCATATTTTCAGATATGCTGGCCAAACTATTATACATAACTTCATTTTATGTCGTTTGTTGTTGTTCCGGATCGGTATGACAATCAATAAAAGGCTAAATTACCTGTGTCCGCTCGTCGATCCTAATGTATCCTATTACAGAAGATGTATTTCGGCGAAATTAAATCGCCATCATCAGTCCTAAAGGTCTTGAGCTTCCCCATTAGGTACGTCTTGGAGTTTTTGAAACACATACACGAACTGTACACTTATACACATGACGAATAAAACATAAATACACAGTAGGCCTACTTTTATTTTTACTATAGACAAGTAGACGCGCGTCGGTCGTGTGCCGAGTCTCGACTGAAAACGCTCATTTAAAAAATTTAAGTTTCCCAGCAATATACAACACTGATTCAAGGTCTATTTCCCGGTTATCAAAACTCAAGAACAATTTTATACACAAAGAATCTCTATTTTCATTTACTGTTACCCTACATATTATTGCACTTGCGATTAATTAAATCCGTTATGTAAGGAAAAACGTTCTTAATCTTAATTGGTTTGGATTTGCTTTCAAGACGTGATCGGAAGTGGTTGCGGTATTTGTAAACAACATTCAATGTAAACATATCAGTGACAGCTAGAAGAAATAATCTTGATTTGAACAGCTGTTCGTTATTTCATAGAAGAATATGTGCTAAACATTGGGAGAAAACTTTACAAAAAATCGCACAAAATTGGGTTTTTAAACGTTCGTTATTTTATTTACAAAGTGGTGACGCCATATTTTAATGGCTAAAGACAATTTCGCCAATCCAGTGAATACATTAAAATGATTTGGAACTTGATAGGTACTCTCGTTTTTCAGGAGTAGGCCGCGTAAAATGGCTCTTGGGTCGTAACAGACATGAAGACAGACAGAAATTTAGATGAGACTTGTTTCGGTTTCTCTAATGTATGAAACATAAAAATAACCTAAAAGTTTATGATTCTGAGCAATGTACAGACAAAACTCTAATTTTATTTATATAGATTAATAAAACTTCTTTGGATAAGTTAAGCTGAAATAAATAAATTAGAATACAGTAATACCTTTGGGTAATACAAACAATCACACCTGATTTTAATAAGGTAATAAATTGAAAGAATAACATAGGTACAAATAAGTACAGCTGAGGTATTTTTAACATTAAGTATATGGAAAGTTCCCTTTAGAAATCAATTACCACCTTAAAGGGCAATTTATGAAATAATGGATAGTTTTTCACAAGGTTTCTCGTCATGACGAATATTTTTAATAAGTTTTTTTTTTTTTTTTTGTCCTAAGGACGCTAGGCACGAGCCTGTGATTGTTTTTCACATTACTTCAGGCTAGACCTAGGGGTTGCGGCATTATCACTTAGATAAAATCCATTGGTGACTTGGCGGGGTTCGAACCCGGGACCTCAGGGACTGAAGTCCCGCGCTCTAACCACTACGCCAGCTCGCCCCCCCGGTTTATGAGGGTGTGACTTGTAGTTATCTCAAAAGTTCATGGGTACTTTGGGCTTTATATATGGACTAGCGGAAAACCCGTGCTTCGCTACGGAAACTTTCAATTTGTTTGAAATTTGTAATAAATTAATGGTCAAAATTCCATCAAATCAAGTTAACACACAATCTTCTAACAGGTGGCATTTATTTGTTTGTGTAAAATCACACAAGATATTATGTCATGTCGAAACATATTTTTTATAACAAAATACTCAAGTGTATTTGACAATTATTGCAAAAAATAAACTAAACATCGTTTACATTTAATTAAACATTTTGCATGCCCAAATTGAGCTGTGAATAAAAGGTAACCTCTAGTGGTATCTAAATTCAGCTTGACTAACTTTTGTATCCTACCAACTTGAACTGCATAGAATTCACAACAAACTTGTCTCCAAACTTTGATGGAAAGGTCCAGAACCATTTGCAGAAGCTTCCCTCAACTAAGGCAAAGGTTGTATAACCTGACTTGGGGATGAATTTACATCACAAACTTTCTGCGGACAACCTGTTGTAGAAGTTGGAAAGGTCTAGAACCATCTGTCGATAGTCAACTCTTGACAAAACATGACGCTGATACAATACTGATTGAAAGGTTACAACAAAGTGGATTGTTTAATTTGTTATTATTTTTGTGTTTTTATAGTACATGAGTTATTAACTTTTGTCAAGTAAACAGTCCCACCCTTTTCATTATTGATACTCATTTAATCATTAATCAAACTCTTACTAAACACTAAAGTATTTTTCCATCACTCTGTATTCTAAAATAGCCCATTTCAATACAGCTGAGATCTTCGCAAATCGTCAATTTCCATACACCAAAAACAAATAGTGATCAGATGATTTTTCCTGACATAAATAAACAATACTTTGCCATACATCAAGAAAGTTACAACTATGAAGTTCCCGGGAACATCTAACGCTTCTTGGAAAATCAATCTGGCTGGTTAGACATTTTTTGAAACATGTTAACAAACCATTGTGATTCATTTGTTTGTTGATGTTCAATCAGCTAAATTTTACACTAAAATTAATTGTACAGCAGTATTAATACATTAATACTTTTAATACTTTTCCATGAAATGGCGACCATACAAAGTAGGTATTTTAAGCCAAGTATGAATGGAGATGAGTGTAGAATGACTGGCACAATCTTGTACCCAAGTCTGGTTAGTGACTAAGGTTGACTTATTCCTGAGACCAGCTGTTAATAATAGCCCTACAGCTAATGGCAACTAAGGGACCTACAGTTTATGGTGGAATCCGAACCACATTTTTGCATTGGTATATACGATATGAATTGGTCTAATTTTCAGAATAGTACTGCGGATATTTGTAGTACTAATTATTGCGGACGTTAATCTACACCAGGGAGTATCGCATCCACAGTGCATGCCATGCCTATAAATATCCACAATTCATAACCTCTTAGTTGGATTACAGGACAACGCCACCCGTCCCAGTTTTTAGTGTGTTTAGATTAGAAAAATTAATAGATTATAAAATATCAGATATTTTATAAGTTTGATGAAGTAGTTTTTCATTGTGATAAAAAAGTATCGCTCAATATACTCCACGAAATGGGTCACTTTTGTGACTATTAGTGAAATATACTATGGTTGTATTTTACCCTTTTCTCATTTTTTACAGAAGGATTCTCTAACGGTAACTTAATCAAAAGAAAAAGTCTTTAATGGTTGTGAAACAAATTTCACAAGAAGTGTTGGAAAAGTATATATCGTAAGAATAACATTATTGGTTTTCTAATGTTAACTTAACAATTGTCTGGTTATTTGAGTACTTATAGCATTGAC